AATTCCAAACATAAAATTAGAAGGAAATGTTAGACAACATTTGGGTATAACAACAGCATTTCATCTCAGTATTTCATTCCTTCTGAGTGTTTGGGTAGGCAAAGGGGAGAGCCTGAAGGCATGAAGTACAAGGTGAAGGAGAAATTTAGCACAGGGGCTAAATTAACAGCAGGCCACATGACCCTAAATCTTTACAAGCAGTGGCAGCTGGGGGAGGGCTCCTGGACGCTGACTGTCCCCCCCCCCCACTGCCAACAATGCCCACTCGAGCCAGAGTCACACTCCTGGGAGCAAGGCCAACATGACTGCACCACCAGCCTATGTACAGTAATTTCTATTCTTATGAATCACTCTTGGGTAAAATGCAGGCCTATTCATGCTTGTTGACTTTGGGTTGGTCATAACTCCAACATCCTGGTATAATACAATTATGATGGAATTCTCTGAGTAATTCCAGAGATTAACTAAAATTTCATAATTCATTATATAATTACAATTTTAATCAAAAGTGCTGATTCAAGCTTAATGGTATCCTGGGAATCAGGTGCCCAAAAAGTGAGGCTGGCAGCTCTTAAAAGTCTCTTGCAGCATTTACAGCAGACGAAAATAAAAGTTGCACGGATCATTCAGTGGTACCCTGTCCCTGGGTCCAAATAGATCCTTTGTCCTCTAGCTGGTATGGTGACAGTGGTCGAGAAAAGCAGCAAAGAAACCACCAGCATTCTCTTTCCTTGCCTTAGCTTACCATGCTGCTCTTTTGCACATCTAGAGTACAACACAGGTGTGTGCCACCAAGCCCAGCTTCAGATAAGCCCAGAAGAAATATAGTGCTAGAGGGATTTGATTTGGGAGGGAAGCTTGAAATATATTTCAAAATATGTGCTTCATTAAGTAAAATAGCAGCAGAAGGAATGTTTTATGTGTATGTAGAAAATAAAAATAACGATTTTCCCTGTCTAGACAAGATCTGCCTCTCAGAAACTATTATTGGGACTGTATCATTCAAAATCACACCCTGAGCTCCTGGGTCTGCTAGCCAGCCTGTGACCCTTGCCTAAACTAACTGGCTCAACACTGACTTGTGCTATCATTGGCTGCGGTACAGAGACATGATGCTCCCAAGAGGGAAGATTGCACCAGCCAAGCACACAAATGTGCAGTATTTCATCACCCTCTATTGGTCTGTCTAGGATTGTGACACTACTTTTCCATTGACTCCAAATACCAGGCTATCAACTGGCACAAGTCCTGGCTGGCCAAGTGTGGAGTCAGCATGGGAGCCGAGGTGCATGGCATGAACGGCTCTTGGATTAACAGAAATGGATGAAGCACAGATCAGAGCCTAAATTAGATCTCATTGTCCTTTGTTTATGTACCTATTTCAGCATTTATCACAATGGATGGTCAGATGCCTGTCTTCCCACAGGGACTGTACCTTAATTGGTTTTGAATCCTGTGACAACCTTAGCTATCCCAGATGCTCAATAACTGAGAGTCAATTCCCAATTTTATCAGCTAACAAGAAGGGCAGCTACTCTGAATGAAATATAACAAATTTTGTAGACACTGGCCTTACTCTGAACCATTATATTTTATTATAATTTATATTTTCTCTTCCTGTTCATGTCCACTCTTTCCTGGAAAACACAAAGACCAAAAATAGATAAGGCAGATGTATGACTATAAGAATAATAATAACACAGTAGATGAAAGTCCGAATGAAGTCCTCTCCTCCACATAGCCTTTAAAAAAAAAAAATACAGGTGTGCGTTGTGGCACACACCTATAATCCCAGCAACTTAAGAGGCTGAGACAAGAAGATTTCAAGTACAAGTTCAGCCTCATCAACTTAGTGAGACCCTGCCTCAAAATAAAAATAAAAATTAGATCTGGAGATATAGCTCAGTGGTAAAGTACCCTGGGCTCAATCCCTAATATTAAAAAAACAAACAAACCAAAAAAAAAAAAAAAAACCCTAAACCTATGCTTCTGGATACCTGCACCTACTTATTTTTTTAATCCATTTAACCTACTAAATTGAAATACCATGTGCCTTTTTAAATTCATGGCCTAAGTCATACACCACAACCACTCCAAAGTATAGGGCCCATAAAATTTCACAAGATCAATAATAGCCCAAAGTCTCACTAAATACAACAGAAAACCAGCAACAAAGTTTGTTCTTTCCTTAAACATTTTTTTTCCTGTACTGGGGATTGAACACAAGGGATGCTTTAACACTGAAATACATCCCCAGTCCTTTTTATTCTTTATTTTGAGAAAGTGTCTTGACAAATTGCTGAGGGCCTTGCTAAGATGCTGAGGCTGGCCTCAAACTTGCAATCCTCCTGCCTCAGCCTACCGAGTCACTGGGATAACAGGTGTGCACCACCACACCTGGCTGTTCTTTCCTTATTAGTAAGGATGCACATTTAAAAGTGTTCCCACAGACTAGCAGTAGAATTACTAGATACCGAACGGAGGAGCGCATAAAGTCAAAAAGATCCAGGTTGATAAAATGTTAGAGGAGTAGTATTTTGGTGTTTAAGCATACACCCTAAAGCTCTACTAGTTGCTTCAGTCATCTGAATAATAATTACACAAAAAAGGCTCAAATGTTTTCAAATACTTTGCCATTTCCACAAGTTACAACAATTTTCTACAATTCCTTTCAGCCAAGCCTCCAGAAGATAAATTCCTTCTAGTGAAATGTCTGACAAAGCATGATAATTTTTAATCCTAAATCAGTGAGGCACAAACTTTTCTACATTACTTTTTATAAACACATAAAAGCTTACTTCTTTTTATAATTAAATCTGGGGATTTGTTTCTTTCTTATTGCTTAACTATTGTTAGGTAGGAGGCAAGGCAAGGGGAAAGGGCCATCCCTTAGGGCTCTCCAGTCCACCTGGAGCCCTCATGACGCTTCACCTGAAGCCCCTTCCCTGAGGGGAAACGGGGCCATCTTGCAGTTAAAGAGAGGAAGCAAGATGACTTGAAAGGGAATTCAAGACCAGAAAGGGAAAGTCATGAATCTTTGGCAGGCCACAAGTACTGACCTAACGTTAACTTGTTGCTAGTTAACATATCATTAGCATTTCAGTTTCTGCCCCTCCGTCCAGGGGAAAAAGAAACTTACACATGGGCAGGAGAGAAGAAAGTATGTCAGGTTCAGCTGTCAAACAAGGTATCCATGAATCCCAGATCCACTCAGGGAAGAGGGGAGAGCTAGAAAAGCCCAATAAAAGAGATGGTAAAGCAGAGAGAGAGAGAGAGAGAGAGAGAGAGAGAGAGAGAGAGAGAGACTTGAGCTACTTCACAGCTCTGCCCACACTGCTCTCTCAAAGTGTTTTCTTCACTTTCAGTAACCCTCTGCCTTGCCTGCCAACCTTTTGTGTCCTGCTCAGTTCTTTGCTCAGGAGGCCATGAACCTGTACTGGACACCCCCTAAGAACCTCTCCCTTTGTGCCAGTAACACTCTGATCTTAATGTCTTTAACAATTCTTAAAATTCTTACCCTGCATGAAAGGGTTTCTTTGAACAAAGGCAAAGACAAGGACTGCCTGGCCCAGTTGATTTGCTAGTTGACTCCTACCAGAAGCTAACAGGAGTCATACAGGGGAAAAGGATATCATGTCAAAAAAGTTTAATAAATGTTATGTTAAATAAAATTAAAAACTTTTCTTTATTACAGGACTTTTCTGAGCCTTTATCACTATGCACTAGTACTCTCCAAAAGCAAAGGACAGTAAGCTTATCCCTCTGGAGAGCTGGTTGTTGTTTGGGGATTTTTTAGTGGGGCAGTAGTAGTCAGTTTTCATCACTATTACAAAAGAAGTGAGGCAGGCCATGTTTGGGGTTTTTTGGTGATGGGGATGGAACCCAAGGCCTTAACATATTCTAAAAACACACTTTACCACTGAGTTACACCAGCAGCTGAGAGTTATTTATTTCATGTACACTATTACCATTAGCCTTTAGCAATAAAGTATTATTCTGAGGAACATACTTTGAGGAACTCAAGTTAGAATAAGATGCTAATAAAGCCTCAATTATAAGTGTTAACTCCCTGGTACTTCAGTAAGCCCTGCTATGTTTGGATACGGCTTAAGTGTGTTCCCTGAAAGTTTCATGTACGGGAGACTTGGTCATTAGTGTGGCAGTGCTAAGATGGTATATAACTTTATAAGGTCCTAGGTCAACTGAGGGTGCTGCCCTCAGAAGAGATTAAGATAATCCTCTGCAACTCCATAGTAGTTCTTTTTTCCCCCTTCCTTTTCAATAAATTGTTGAGGCTGACCTCAAACCTGTGGATCCTTCTGCTCCAACCTCCCAAGTCACTAGGATTTTAGGCATGTACCATAGCACCCTGCCCCCATGATACTTCTTACAAGTATGAGTTGTTATAAAAGCTTGAAGCTAACCCCTGAGTCACTATCCCTTCTTCCTGTCTTACCATGTGATCCTTCTACCCACATGAGCTCCACCATCCACCATGAGTACCTCATTAGAGACCAGGTGATCTTCCCATGCCATGCCCTTGAGCCTCCAGAACTGTGAGTTAAATAAATCTCTTTTTTCATGAGTGGCCTGCCTCATTTCTTTTGTAATAGTGACGAAAACTGACTACTACTGCCCCACCAACACTTTTAAACCATTGACTCTATCTTTATAACCATAGGAAGCCATCTTCAAATGCACACCCTTAGAAACTAAAACACCACCTATACAATACCTGTAATAAGAACATATAAATGAACCATAACACTTATCACCACCTTCATGATAAAAAGTTATATAACAAATTAGAATAAATTAAATTAAATTAAATAAAGTCAACCCAAACTCAGGCAGCTGCTGTTTTGCATTAAGGACAGAATTTTAAGTAATCTAAGGCCTAAGGAAAGCACCGCTCTCTGTATATTTCACATTCAAATTGGGAAAAAATAAACCTACCCAATGTGAATATTTTAATGATCATAATGAAAAGAAAGACTTACCAACAGAAGCTGAATTTTTAAGAACAGACTCCTTCTCAGCTCCTTTTTCAATTCGTAATGTGGCCCACTGTTCAAAAACAAGAAGTATTAATGTTAACTCTTCTGTAGACACAATGTAAACTACTCAAACCTTCCTTCTAACCTTCAGTTTCCTTATTATAAAATGAGAATTATCATTCCCATCCCATAAGATTGCTGTCAAGATTAAATGACATTACACGCATAAAGACCTAAACACAGGGCACAAAGTATAATGATTCTTTTCATAATAAACTAGGCATTCAGGTACAAGACATGTTCAAAGAGGAATCAGAAAAGCTTGCAGAGCCAGGCTCAGTGGCTTCTCAGGAGGTTTAAATAGGAAGATCATAAGTTCAAGGACTGGCTTAGCAACTTAACAAAGCCCTGAACAACTTAGCAAGATGCTTCCTCAAAATAAAAAGGGATGTAGTTCACTGGTAAAGCATCACTGAGTTCATCCCCAGTTCACCATCATCATAATAATAATAAGGCTAGGCATGATGGTGCTCGCCTGTAATCCAGGGGGCTTAACTGAAAATTCAAAGCCAGCCTCAGAAACTTAGCAAGGCTTGGAGCAACTTAGCAAGACCCTGTCTCAAAATAAACAGTAAAAAGGGCTGGGGAAGTGGCTCAGTGGTTATGTGCCCCAGGTTCAATCCTTAGTACTAAAAAAAGAGAAAAGAAAAAGGGCGGAAAAAAAAAAAAAAACAGCTTACAGAAAGAAGCAGCACAGACTCAGAAAGCTACAAAGAGTAAGTGAAATCACTACTAAATAAAAAACAAAATCTGTCCACCTAATTACTGACCTATTAAGATGCATAGGAAAAAAATGTTATGATTATAAGGATCTACAGGCTTAGGAGAATTTAATAATTGGAAAAACAACTCTCACTTTATTTAAATATACTGAGATGTGTTTTTAATTTTTTTCTTTATACATTTCTTATGTATTTCTAAAATTTACCTTTTAATATCATAGTTTAAAAAGCACAAGGGAATTTTTTCAACTCAGTATTCTAGAGAATCCTCAAATGCTGTCTTTTAGTTTTAAAATAGCCAATTAGCCAGGAGCAGTGGTTTATACCTACAGTCCCATTTAACAGAGACAGGAAGATTGCAAGTTTAAGGCTAGCCTCAGCAAACTAGTGAGAACCTGTTTCAAAATAAAAAATTAAAAAGGAGTAAGGATGTGGCTCAGTGGTAAAGCCCCTCTAGATTCAATCGCCAGTACCACAAATGAATAAATAAATAAATAATTAAAATAGTCAATTAGGGGCTGGTGGTATAGTTCAGCAGTAAAGCTCTTGTCTAGCATGAGCAAGGCCCTGAGTTCAATCCCCAAAACACAGAATAAAAAGAAGAAAAGCAAATTCAAATGACATCTAGAAGATTACAATTTGATTTCAAAGTGGGGGGGAAATAAGAGGCAAAAAGCTATGTAATAATTATAATTGAATATAAGTACCCATGAAGGGGCATTTATTAATGCATCAAGGCAAAAACCTTTACTATTAGTATTTCCAAAACCTATTACTAGGCTCTGACAGGTGTGTAAAGCAGAGAATCTGAAAGGTTTTTAAAAAAAATAAATTAGAAAATAACTGACAGAATAAATAGCCCAAGCATAAGTCCAAAGGTCAAGGATTCTGGCACTGACCACCAGGACCCCTGCACAACAACTTAAAAAGCCAAGAAGGCACATGCCAGCACGCTCAGGAAATACCTATAAATAGAAGCCTGATCTTCCAGCTTCAAGTGGCAAGTCACTGATGACAATTAGACTTGGTCTTAGTCTGGCTACATCATTTTAGATATTGCTGATTTAGCACAGGGTTTCTCAAACTCTGGACTCCTACCTTTTCTCAACTGAGATAAAGGTTAATTTCCATAGTTTCTTACTTAAAGCTTTGGACCCTATTATCATTTGAAAATAAGCCAAATATATGATAAAATAGAATATTGTTTTTATAATAGTTTACTTTTTTACAATCCAGCATTATTAACCTCAGAACTGACTTTTTAATTATATGCAGATGATTTTATATTTTATATAAATGTAGTTCCATAGGTTGTAACAATTACCCCATGCTCATATGATGGAAAATATTGGTATTTTGTGGAAGTTAAGGGCTGAGTTATAGTCCCCAAATTCATATGTTGAAGCTCGAACCCCATACTTCGGAATGTGACTGAGAGAGGGTCTTTAAGAGATGATGAAGTTAAAATGAAGCCCTTAGAGTGGGCCATAATCCTATCTGACTGGTGTCATAAGAAGAAATTGGACAGCCAAAGAAATTCCAAGCATGTGTGTGCATGGAAAAAAGATCACGTGAGGGCATAGTGAGAAGGTGAACCCCTGCAAGACTAGGAGAGGCCCCAGATCAAAACCACGCCTGCCACACCTTGATCTTGGACTTTTAGTTTCCTGAACCATGAGAAAATAAATTTGTGCTGTTTAAGCCACCCAGTCTGTGGTATTTGGTTGTGTCAGCCCTAGCAAACTACACAATGACACTTTTCAAACACTGAGTGACATTCCTTAAAGAGCAAGAAAGAGTTCCAGAATGCCAAAGAACTGCAGTGACTGTGCTCAATGTAAACAAATGTTAGACCAGGCTCTTATCATCCCAGCTATTCAGGAGGCCTAGGCAAGGAGGATCACAAATTCAAGGTTAGCCTGGACAACTGAGAGAGACTTTGTCTCAAAATAAAATGAAAGGGCTGGAGATTATAGCTCAGTGGTACAGCAGTCCTAGATTCAATCCCTGGTAATACACACACACACACACACACACACACACACACACACACACACAAGTAAATGTTAATGTTGGAGAAGCAGCCATTTAACGCTAAAAAGAATTTGTGTTAGAAAACCATTTTCTTCCATAGGTTTACTCTCCAGTGAAAGTAAAATCCTGCCTGTGCTTTGCAGCCAGCCAGCTATATGCTGGAATTTTAGTCCTGCCATTTCTTGGCTCCAGCTATTTCAGAGAAAATCCTTTAACCTTGGAGCATCCATTTCATCATCCCTAAAATGGGGACAACACCAAGGGTGGTTGTGAAAATTAAAGGAGCAATATATCTGTTGCCATAGTAGGCCATAAAGAATAGCAATGGCTTCCTCTTCCTCCCCATGCCCCACACTTTATTACCAAAGATGACCAGTTTTTTCTCAAACTATCAGTGTGTCTCCCAATAGATATCTATTTTTCTTTTACCATGCCTGCTTCTTCCACCAATTGAGTAAGCCCAAATATAAAGGCAGAATATCTCTACTTCAAGTTCTGAATCTCTTCTAAAGGATCTCAGAACAAATCTACCTTCAAGCTCCAGGAAAAGGCAGCTCTGTAGGCAAGAGGTTTCTGAAGGTCAGAAGTGGCATCTAACACCATCCTTTACTGTTCCCCACCTCAGTCTCACCCCAGGGAAAGCTAAGACACTTATCAATCAGACTTTCTCTCCAATTAATTTCCACACCTTCTAAGAGAAAAATGCCAGCTATCCAAAATTCACCAGTAAGAAGCAGTTTCAAGTCTAACTTTAAAGCTTAAGTCCAGAGTTTGCAATATTGTGACACTATCACCTAGACAATTATAACTTCCAATTTTTCAACTATCAAAACATTTAGGGATTGACTAAAGATATGGAAAAGGAAGAAGAAAAGTGCATAAAATTGAATAAAAATTCAAATTATGAAGCTCACTCAAATAACAGCTGGCTGCCATCTGTAGCCAAATGGAAGTTTCTTGACAGAGCTGTCATCTTGATAGACTAAGAATGCAGCCTCCAAATTAAAATCCCATTCTGCCACTGTCAGCTGTATATTGCTGCCCAGACATATTTTCTCTCTGAACCTCCACCTTCAGATCTATCAGTGAGAGTAATGATAGAGCTGTGTGAAATTAAGATAAATGCAAAGCACAATACCTGGCCAGCTTTTGTTTAATATTACTTTCTATCATCAACATCGGGGCCTTCTAGCACATTTATTAAGTTTCCAACATCAGATATAATATCTATTATACAGATGTTAATAACCATCTGATAATTATTGATGTACTTTTTTTCACCCCCAATATTAATGATTGAACCCAAGGAAACTTTTTAACAATTCACTGAGCTAAATTCCCAGCCCCTTTTACATTTAGGCTTGAGACTGGATCTCACTAAGGTCCTGAGGGTTTCAATAAGTTATGAGGCTGGCCCACAACTTGTAATCCTCCTGCCTCAAGCTCTAGAGTCATTGGGATGACAGCTGTGTACCACTGTGCCCAGCTTTACATGCCTTTTTAAAAAGACGGAAAGCTGCGATCAGTGGCGTATACCTGTAAACCCAGTGGCTTGGGAGGCTGAGGCAGAAGGATCTTGAGTTCAAAGCCAGCCTCAGAAAAAGTAAGTAAGCACCTCAGTGAGACCCTGTCTCTAAATAAAACACAAAATAGGGCTGGGGATGTGACTCAGTTGTTGAGTGCCTGAGTTCAATTCCCAGTACCCACTCACCTCCCCCACAAAAAAAAAGAAAAGAAAAAAGATGGAGAGGGCTGGGGTATATAGCTCAGTGGTAAAGTATTTGCCAAGAATATGTGAGGAACTGGGTTTAATCCTCAGCACAATAAAAAAATTAATAAAGATATTGTGTCTATCTACAACTTCAGTTATAATTTTTTTAATGTAGAACTAATTGGTGGAGAGAGGAGAGAGTAAAGGGAATAATATACAAAAAATAGGAATAATCTGCTCTGAGTACATGTTGACCCACCAAAGATCTGAAGATACGTTAAATCTTAGCTTCATATAGGTACATAATTAATTAATTTTAAATTAATTAAAACAGTATCAAAGAATGTCCTAATCCAAATTCCATGAAATGTTCAGCATCTACTATATATCAAATGCTTTAATTTATTCTCCTTTAATCTGCAGAATAATCCAATCCAGCATATTTGTCCATACACATGTACAAACTAAGCTTGAGATGTTAAGTGACCTAAGGCCACAAAGTCAGAAATTTGGAGCAACTCATTCATACTTCCTTCTTATTCTTGAAAAATGGAAGAAAAAGCTGAACACAGTAGCACAAACTTGCAATCCCAGCCACTTGGGAGACTGAGGTGAGAGGATTTCAAGTTTGAGACTAGCTTGGGCAACTTTGCAAGACCCTGTCTCAAAACAAAATGAAAAAGAAGGCTAGGGGTGTAGCTCAGTGCTAGAGTGCTTACCTAGCATGCACAAGGGCCTGGGTTCAATCCCCAGCACCACACACACACACACACACACACACACACACACACACACACACACACACGAAGGAAAATTAGTCCTATTGTATGTCCATTGCCTGTATATCTGATTAGATAATTTAGATCTTAAGTATCATTCCCTTTCTATCAACTCTATATTCTCTTTCCATTCTTTATTTCTCTCGAAGCATGAACCTTGAGTCAATGAGTATCAATCCATCCCCACTCTCACCCCAATCATTAACCTTACAATTTACTTTCACGGTTGAGAGCAGCACATTTCAATGTTTAATTTGTGCTCCTGTTAAATAAATACAACTTCACACTCACCCTTCCACAGACTCTGACATATACACACTACCATCTGGATCAATTTCCCTCTACACATCCCCTCAGATAAAAGTTTTACTTTTCACAGTTCTTTTATTCCTAAAATAATTTCCCCCTGCTGGGTGCGGTGGAGCACACTTGTAATCCCAGTAGCTGGGAGGCTGAGCAGGAGGATCGTGAGTTCAAAGCTAGCTTCAGCAAAAAGTGAGGCACTAAGCAACTCAGTGAAACCCTATTTCTAAATAAAATACAAAATAGGGATGTGGCTCAGTGGTCAAGTGCCCCAAGTTCAATCCCTGGTACCCAGAAAAATAAATAATAAATAAAAGAATTTTCCCCAGTATAAAGTTATTGTATTGACATATATTGACTAATAAATTATTATATATCCCTTGGAAATCATCGGTTAAGGACTCACTAAACTCATACTAAGCCAAGCATTCAAGCCTTGTCCTCAAATAGTTTGCCATGTCAGGGACTTATACACACATCTAGAGACAACCAGCAATGCAGAAGGCAGCATGTAGCAGGTGCTCAATAAATGACATTAAATGAATTGGCAAACTAAGAAGGTGTCAGAGAAGAGTCATATAGCTCAGTGGATACCTTCACATTCAGAATGTTCTCCACATACAATTCAACCTACAGAAGTTGAGTTGAAGGTCATATAAAAAAACACCCCACTACTAATTAAATTTCTAGAAGTAAATACATATGGACAAAACTAAATGAACTTTTTAAATAGTATGTAAATTATAACCAATAAACTTGAGAACTATCCAATTCTTTCTTTAATTAATTTATTTATTTTAATTGGATATATATGACAACAGAATGCATTTTGATTCATTGTTCACAATTGCAGCACAACTTCATTTCTCTGGTTGTATATGATATAGCATCACACTATATGTGCAGTCACACATGTACCTAGGGTAATGATGTCCATCTCATTCTACCATCTTTCTTGCCCCCATACCCCCCATTTGCCCCATTAAAGTTCCTTGTTTTTCCCATGCCCCCCCCCATTATGGATCAGCATCCACTTATCAGAGAGAATATTTGGCCTTTGGTTTTTTGGGACTGGCTAACTTCACCTCACATGATATTCTCCAACTCCATCCATTTATCTTCAAATGCCATAATTTTATTCTCTTATAATGCTGAGTAGAGAACTATCCAATTCTGATCAAATAATCCCAAAGAATATTTTTGGGACTGGAATGTAAAGATGGGGAGAAAAACAAGAATCAAATTAATTGAGAACTTACTAAGCAATAATGAGTGACAGAAGGGCTGGGTCTTGAGTGGAATCTACAAAAAGGCAGCATATTGTCCAGGGCTCATAATGTTGTAATGCTAGACAATTGGCACAATTTTAAAAGGAATTATTCCTACAGTGGGGAAAAGCAATCCACTATACTAACCCCAGCCTAACAGAAATGTCTCTGAAATATCTAACACTGTTCTAGGTAAAGGATGGAAAATCCAGGGTTGCTATTTTCCTTTCTGAGCCTGAAGCAGAAATCACCATCATACCTCTCTTCCCTAATGAGCCCAACTGCTCCCCAACATTGGAGCTTCAGGCAGCATATCAAGCAAATCAGTGGACTTACAAAAGGAATTCCTGTTCAATTCCAAGCATCCCTCTGACCTAATAAGTTAGTGTTAGTAACAAAGGTTGTTCCTTGTGGTGCCACCTACCTGGTTTCCAAGCTACTTGGTGTATCTCACTCTAGAATAGAAAATTGGCATTCTGGAAAAAACTAAACTTCTTGGTTGTCAAGGAGTTCATCTCTGAGAGTCTTTTCAACTCCAGAGAGACAAATATCAAAACTCAGGCCAAGCATGGTGACGCACATCTGTAATCCCATCGGCTCCAGGGGCTGAGACAGGAGGATGGAGAGTTCAAAGCCAGCGTCAGCAAAGGGAGGTGACTAAGCAACTCAGTGAGACCCTGTCTCTAAATAAAATACAAAATAGGGTTGAGGATGTGGCTCAGTGGTCGAGTGGCCCTGAGTTCCATCCTTGGTACCCATCCCACCCCACCCCACTCCCCCAAAACTCAAGGCCTCCTCAAACTGAAAGCCAGACCCTGGATTGGAGAAAAATCCCATCAAGATAGCAAATTTGCCTAGCTAAGAACAACTAGCTGGCCTTGCCCTTACATATCTCTTTAGCAGTTCCTAAAACACAAAGGTAAAATAGACAGGAGTGAGCCAGAATGTATGATAAACCTTCACTCAGTTCCCACTTGGCGTATGAGCTCCAAATGACATTGCTGTACAAGAGAAGAGTTCAATCATTCCAGAGTACTGAACATGAGGGAATACCAGCTGCAAAGGGGTATCCTCTATGGGGAGAGAATTCTGAAGAAGTTCTAACAGAAAGAAGCAGCCAGGAAAATCATGACATAGTGCAACCACACTCAGAATGTAATTGCAATGAGAAAAGCTCAATAATGAGAAATGTCTCCTAAGTAGAAACAGAAGAACTTCAAAACCATGAGGGGTGCCAGGCCAGCAGCCCACACCTGTAATCACAGCAACTTGCAAGGCTGAGGTAGGAAGATCTAAAGTTCCAGGCCAGCCTTGGCTATTGTGGGGCCCTGTCTCAAAAATAAAAAGGCCCAAGGGTGAGGGTCAGTGGTAGAGAGCCTCTGAGCTCAATCCCCAGTACTGCTAAATATATAAGTAAATAAAAATATGAGGACTGGACATGAGTAATCAAATATAACTTTAAGGGCTCAGCAAAGAAATAGCCACAAAGAGAAAGTTCGACCAAGTCCTAGAGTAAAACAGAATATTAGCAGACATAAGTCACTGTCCCATGGGTTATATAGTATATCTGGGAGTCACATCCTTAGTGAGGAAGAAGAGCAAATAAAGCCATGTCCTACCAGTGGACAGAAAATAAAGGCAGAAAAATGGGAACCCATATTAAAAGGTAATGTAGAAGCTAGAGAAACAAAGATGACAGAATCTAAGTAATCATATTATTGTTTTAATAGCAACACACATACATAGCAACGAACACATGCAGACACATTTCTAAGGGCTTGACATATTTTAACTCATTAAAGCAACAGTACCAAAATAGGTACAATTTTTACTCCTATTTTATAGGTAAGTTAAACAAGGTAAAAGAAGTATGTGTCTTCCTAAGGTCACATATAGAAAAACAGAGCTGGGAGGCTAGGGATGTAGCTCAGTAGTAGAGCACTTGCTTAGCCCTGGGTTCAATACAAGTTACTGAAAAAAAAATGGAATTAATTTTTTTTTTTAAAGAGAGAGTGAGAGAGGAGAGAGAGAGAATTTTTAATATCTATTTTTTAGTTCTCAGCAGACACAACATCTTTGTTGGTATGTAGTGCTGAGGATCGAACCCAGGCCACACGCATGCCAGGCGGGCGCCCTGCCGCTTGAGCCACATCCCCAGGCCTGGAATTAGGTTTTTGGTACCAAATGTAAACAAACCTGAACAGCCTACAGGGCCTCACTTCAGTTAAGACTCCTGTTTTCAATTCTTAGTTCAGACAAACCACTGAACTCTGAGTCTCAGTTCCCTTATCTGTAAAAGTAGATATACCTGTCCTCCCTACCTGATAAGACCCTTTGAAACTCAAAAAATCCCTGAATAAGGGTAAACTGCTGTTATTCCCTACTGGACTCACGTGCATCTAACACTTTTCTCTGCAAAATTTGGAAACAAAACCTTAAGTAGGCAGAACTGAGGTCAAAGAAAAGACCTTTGCAATGGCATTTCAAATGCTATTGGTTAGATAAAATTTCCATGACTCCACGGAAATAAAATCAGATTTCTTTCTGCCATCCAGCAATTGGTTTCTTATCTTGGAAATAAAGTAGAACACAATGTCTTTCTGGACAAGATATCTTAGTGCACCAAAGGACCTCTGGAACCTGGGTTGTAAAAACTGAGAGTGAATCGAGAGCCGCACAGAATAATATCTATAAACAAATTCACTGATACAAAAGACTGCCCCATGATTATTCTAATCTGTGAAATAAGAGTTGATGGAATTGAGGTAAAGCGGTTCTATCTTCAACCGGGGAAAATAAGATGGTCCAGTGATCTCAGCCTGAATTCCTCCAGCTCTGCAGAAGATGTAAAGATGCTGTTTTCCACGCTGCTAAGGACCAAAAAAAAAAAAAAGAAAGAAAGAAAATACACAATTTCCGACTGCTGGCCTTGGGGACTGGACCTTGAGTCATTTTGGCTCTGGCTTTCACAGCCCTAAGCTCAGTCCCCACAGCCCCGGGTCCCCCCTAGAGTCTTCAGAGCAGTGAGGCCACAGCATCCTTCCTGGCACTCACCTCTAAAGTTTTCACCAGGATCTTCATGTAGATCTCGGAGATGCCCAGAGACACTCCGAAGGCCGAAGGCAGCAGGATGAGGCCCAGCACCAGCGTCAGCCAGGTGGACAGGATCTTCCCTGCCAGGTCTGCGCCTTCCATGGCTCAGCGCACCCACTCGGAAGAGGTCTGCAGAGGAGGTTCGGGCGCGACAGCTGTCCTTGTCCCCGGGCAGTTGGGCCAGAGCTCCGGGAGCGGAGCACAGAACCCTGAGCTGGGCTCCGGTGGGTCAGCGCTGCCGCCTCCTGCCACTCACCTCTGCGGGACAAAGAGAGGAAGGAAAAAAAAAACTTTGAGAACGTCGGTAATTTCCTTCCTCCTTGGCTCCTCCTTGTCCCGACTGGTTAACTCTCCGTTAAAGGCCGGGGCGAAGCCTGAAGCGGGTAGCAAGCGCAGACCCGGTAAGCGCAGGCTGGAAGACCAGAGCTGGGGCTAGCTAAGCGACACCGCCGTGCGGTCAGAGCACAGGAGCGCAGCCAGGAACGCGCCCCACCCGGTGCCTGATTTCCTCTATGTTGCGATTGCGACAACTCAGCTGTGACTCACCGAGGCCCTCCCAGAGCGAGGATCCCTGCCGGCGACCTACACCTCTGCACACAAGCTGGCTGGAGCCTGGCTACGCTCGGGCGTCCTGCGCCCTATTTCTGCGCGCTGCCCTTGCCCCACCTCCTCTGCCACCCAACGGGGAGCTCCCTGGCAGGATGAGCTCCCAGCGCTGCAGCCTCCAGGGCGGTCTCCCTCCTTCCCCGCGCCCCAGCTCCCCCAGCGCTCTCAGCAAAGGTCCTTTCTGGAGGAGAGTTTCCATCTGTAACACAGAACCTACTATTGACTATCCCGGAAGCTTGCGAAGGTCTTGTCTGGGTTCGTGTAAAACGACCTCTTGGGAAAGATTTTCAAGGAGAGGAAAAGGCAGCGTATGGATGAGCAGCCACACATGCCGCTTCTGGGTTTGCCCCCACCACCTCCTCTTACGTGTCCCTCCCTACAGAGTTGAGGGGCTAAATCTTGCTTAACCGAAGAGTAGAAGGCTTTCTCCTTGAGTCGCCTAATTCCGCTGCCTGCTCCGGAGCACAGAAACCCCACCCACGGCTGAGTATCTGTCACTCCCTCGATGGGGAAGATTCCAACCCACCTTCCTTCCCACCCATCCACCAACATTCAGCGCCCAGACGCTGCAGAAAATGCCAGGCAGGAGCCAGCCTCCACCAAGCTGACAAGAGTCTTCTGGGGGTTCCGTCCCCGCACGGCTATGGGCTATGGTATTTACTCCCCTGCAGTCCAACTGGTTTTAAGAACGAGCATGAGAAGGCATATTGAACACTACCGTAGTCCCTAAGAAAATCAAGCTGGTCAGGGGACAGATTATCACTGAAATCAGATCTAACTCTCTTAATGGGACAAAATCTTTTACGGGTAACATTAGGGTGTTGTTTTAAGGTGAAAAAAGCTGTGAGGACCAGCAAACTGAATTGAAACAGTGTTAATACCGCCTCTGCCTCCATCTTCACATAGCCTTCCCCCACCCCCACCCCCACCCCCCTAAAGTGCGGGGTAGTTGGAGGTTGAACTTAGGGACCTTGAACATGGGTATGCTAGGCAAGCACCACACGACTGGCTACATCCCTGCCCTTCTTCTCTTCTTACAAATATTGTAAGGGAAAAAAAAAAAAACTGATCCTGCCAAGAGTGTAGAAGAAGTGCAGAGCCAGGGAATGATAAGCGCCTCTGCAAAGAATGTAAATGTCCCCTGTGCCTCCTGCCAGATAGGTGTCACAGACTCTCTGCTACTGAGAAGGGAAGGAAATCAAGTTATGATTGAAAAAGTGGCAGGAGCTTGGTTTCTCAAAATTAAACAGCTATCATCTGCCAGGGTGCAGAAACAAGGAAAACACAACTGTCAGAGCTGTCTGGTACCTGCTGAAAATGATTATGTGTGTGTCTATATATTACCAAATAATATACACACTACTACATAATATACATACCATGTAGATGTGTATATATACATATACCTCATATTTTACACAAAGTCTCAAAGATTATATTGGCTCATTTTAATGCTATGTTCAGGTAAAATTCTTTCCCTCTTTTATTTCCTCAAACCAAAATGACTAAATAACTGTACCAAAGTCCACTCAACAAAGGAAACAGTACAGGTAACTTTATGTTTCAGTTTAGCCATATGCTGGCACTGAGTGTACACACTCTTGTGTAATTTTTATTGCTCATAACCAACACTGTGAACTGGTTTTGGTTTGGGGTTTTGTTTTGAAACTTCTGTGTCTACAGTAAAAACTCTATGCAGAGATCAGAAGGTGACCTGGTCAAGTACAAAAGTTCTCCTTCTCTCCTAAAATGCAAGGGATTTACAACTGGCTCCCAAAGGTAACAAAGACTCTTCCTTGCAATGATAAGGAAGGAGAGGATTCTTACCTGCCCCTCCCCTTATGTCCCTTTCATTCATAGGAACCTCCCTCCCTTCCTGCAGTCAGGATCCTGCATAAACTGTGTTTTATTTCTTAGAGGTGCATTAACAAATTGCCACAGATTTAGTCACTTAATGGAGGACAGAAGTGTGAACTCAAAGTGTCTGTCCGCAGGACCAGGTTCCCTCCAAAGGCTCTAGAGGAGAATTTTTCCTTGACTCTTCTAGCTCCTGGTGGCTCCCAGAGTTCCTAGTTTGACACACCTCTGTCTCTGCCCCAATCTTCACATGGCATTCCCCCTCCAGGGTAGATGGAGGTTGAACTTAGGGACCTTGAACATGGGCATGCTAAGCAAGCCCTACATGACTGGCTACATCTGCCCTTCTTCTCTTCTTTTATAAAGATGAATTTTTATAAATCTTTTATAAAATCTTTATAAATCATGGATTTAAGGCCTGTCCTAACTCAGGATGATGCCATCTCAAGATCCTTCACTTAATTACACATCTTCAAAAACACTTTTTTTCAAATAAGAGTTTCACATTCATAAATTTAGGAGTTAGGGCTTGGACATACCTTTTGGAAGTCTGAATTCAACCCAACACACTTTCCATCTCTGTAAAACGGGGATAATAATACCTACCTGGAGAGGTTGTTATTGGGATTAGAGCTATGGTTTGGGGGTTTTTTGTTTGTTTGTTTGGTTGGTTGGTTTTTTTTTGGTACCAGGGATTGAACTCATAGTTGCTTAACCACTGAGCCATATCCCCAGCCCTTTTTTATATTTTATTTAGAGATAGGATCTTGCTGAGTTGCTTAGGGCCTCACCATGTTGCTGAGGCTGGTTTTGAAATCACAGTCCTCCTACCTCAGCCTCCTGATCCACTGAGATTATAGGTGTGCACCACAAACGCAGGGCCTGTATATTTAAATTTTGCTGCATCCACCAGGTGCTGGTGGTTCATGCCTATAATCCCAGTGACTAGGGAGGCTGAGGCAGGAGGAGTTTGAGACCAGCTTCATCAATTTAGTGAGATCCTGTCTCAAAAGAAGGTACAGGGGTGTAGCTTAGCAGTAGAGAACACCTGGGTTCAATCCCCAGCATCAAAAACCTAACTTCTTAACTTCCTTCCACCAGGCCAACCTCCTGAAGGTTCTGCCACTTTCCAGTAGTGCCACAAGGACCAAGCCTTCAACATATGGGTCTTGGGGAATATTCAAGATCCAAATTACAGCACAAAACTGAAACATGTGGAGGTGAATCAGATTGTTGAAGTATTTTATTGACCAGACAAGTTTTGCATTCCTTGTCTCCAGTCTCTTTATGAGAACTTTCTTTTCCTCTGATTTCATTTAATACCTTTCTTGGGCCTTCATGATATCTGACCTTGATTTGTATATTTGCTTAGTCATCCTATAATGAACTGTTCAGTATCCAGACCTGCATCATTCCTCTTTACCTTTCTGCCTGTGTTCCACCCCTTCTGCACCTGCAGCTTCACTTCATGCCACACTCTTTTTCAAAGCCAGCAATAACTCCCAAATAGCCACAAGTTAAAATGCCAAATATGGACCACTTTAGGTTAGATCTTTAAGCACTTTTAGGGGCAAAAGAACTCTTTCTTCCCCCTCTGTTGAGGATAGATATTTGAGTTTAAAAATGAACTAACAGCCAGATGTGGTGGCACATACCTGTAACCCCAGCAGCTTGGGAGGCTGAGGCAGGAGGATGGCAAGTTCAAAGCCAGCCTTAGCAATTTAGTGACCCCTAAGAAACTCAGTGAGACCTTGTCTCAAAATAAAATATTTTTTATAACTTTATTTTGCTTATTTAATGTATTTACCTGGTGCTGAGAATCGAACCCAGTGCCTCACACATGCTAGGCAAGCGCTCTACCACTGAGCCACAACCTCAGCCCCATAAAATATGTTTTAAAAAGACTGGGAATGCTAGGGATATGGCTTAGTGGTTGAGCTCCCCAGGTTCAATCTCCAGTATGAAAAAAGAAAGAAAGGAAGGAAGGAAGGAAGGAAGGAAGGAAGGAAGGAAGGAAGGAAGGAAGGAAGGAAGGAAGGAGACAATAGATAGTTTAAAAGGAGAAAAGGCACACAAACTTATCACACACACATACACACACAGGGAATCATAGGAAGGAGAGTGCCCAGTAACCCAATGAGATCTAGAAGCTTCTATGTCCTTCTTCAAAGGGGTAAGGATGTATAAGTTGTAGGCAATTTTAGAGGAATAATGATTTTAGGAGTGTTAAATGGACCTGAAAAACACTATAAAATCAAAGGCAAAATTCTCCCCTGCCCTCTGAAGCCTTGCTGGAATAAATGGACAAAGATTAAATAGGAGACACAGCATACACATTTCTTAACATGCAAAAGAAGGAAATAATTAGTGTGGTTACCCACTAGTCCTGAATCATCCAGCAGCTTATGTAGCCCTTTTTCTATAGGGGAAGGGAGAAAGCAAAGGTGATTAATGGTCCCAAAAAAGATTCTCTTTGGAATTCAAATAAAACAAAGTGATAGACATCATCTTGAAAGGGAAGTCCATCCCTCAGTCTTCTTGGTGGACAATGAGAATTAAGGATCGGAGGGAAGACAGTTGTGTACCCTTTTGCGGTCTGGTCTTAATGCAGATAATGGGATTCCAGAGAAAGTCTCTCCAATACTTGGGTGGATAGAAGCAGTACAAGGTTTTCCTCTAGGTCAAAAACTCAGCATGCCTGTAGGCTGGGGATGTAGTTCAGTAGTATAGTGTTTGTCTATCTGGCATGTGTGAGGCCCTGGGTTTCATCCCTGGTACTGCAAAAAGGAAGCCCAGCCTGCCAAAAAAAAAAAAAAAAAAAGCTCTATTTTAAGGGTCTCATTCCCTGAGCCTTAACAACAGACAACAGTTCAGAATAAAGTTCCTCTGGGTTCTGGGTGTGATATTTTTACTTTCTGTCTCTTCTGTGATATGAGTTTTAATCCTTTAAACTTCCTTGGTGAATATAATAACCAGGAGGGAATAAAAGGCAATTGTGTTTCTTTTTGAGAGAGCTGGTCTTTTCCTTAGTTAAGTAAGGAAACATCAGAGAAAAGCCTGCTCTAGGGCTGGGGATGTGGCTCAAGCGGTAGCACGCTCGCCTGGCATGCGTGGGGCCCGGGTTCGATCCTCAGCACCACAAACAAAGATGTTGTGTCCGCCAAGTACTGAAACATAAATATTAAAAAATTATCTCTCTCTCTCTTTAAAAAAGAAAAAAAAAGAAGAAAAAAAGCCTGCTCTAGCATCTGCTAATTTCCAAACAACTGCAATTGACAAATTAGGACTGGAAGTGCTGCTCAGTGGAAGAAAACAGCTTAGCCTGTGCAAGGCCCTAGGCTCAATCCTCAACACCATGTGAAAAGAAATTAAGATAATAGCATGTCCAGGGGGCATATTTTAGGTTGACCTCTCCTGGACTCCTTCATAACTTCCAACACATTCCAACAAAGCCTTTCTTGCTTTCCCCTGGATTATTTAGGGTTTCTTCTTCTCTGGGTCTTTGATCACATCACAGTTCTCCTTCCTCCAATATGCACATACACTTGTCTCCTTTTCACTCATTCACTCACTAACCAAGTCAGCAAATCAACACGGGGGGCCTGCCAGTTGCTGAGTAAACCAAATTACACA